ATGAAGCAGAGCTGAACAAAACAACGTCTTCACCTAAAAGTCTGACACACTATCCCTTTGAACGACAGTAACCACACAATCATATGATTATGGTTTATGACATCCACAGAACATTCAATGCTATAACCGTCCTTGGTGTTAGGCAACCCCGAAGACTGTCCAAAGAGGCCGCCCCAATAGCGATGACTGAGACCAGATCGAAGTCCTCACTGCGGTCATTATCGTCAGGTATTCCCCGACGGCTTTCCAAACAAACTCGGGGAACACCTGCTCCGATAGCTAAGCCAAGCTCTAGTCGCAACCTTCGGACACCTCGGCTCTTCCGAAACAGGCAAGGGGCGGCGATGACTCGCCGTAGGCGCTTTCGAGAATTAATGTTTCTCCCCCCATGCGGTGCACATTGCGTTTTTTCTATTGAAGTGCCCCTTCCAAGGGCTCGCACCCTGTTTTTCACAAGAGAAGGTCTTACGCCTCAGATTGGCCCCGTGGCCCCCGAACTACAACAACATCAGCAACAGCAACAACAACTCCCGCCTGATACTGCCTCGCAATTTACTCAAAAACGCGCTGGAACTCCTCACAATTTATCAAGGATCGCCCTCTCGCGAAAGAGCCCCTCGCAATTTATGGAAGCGCCGCGCCCCCGACACTCAGGAATCACGTTCCCGCTCTGGCATTCCTCACGATGTACGTGAACATTGCGCTATCCTTCGAGACTTCCTCGCGATTCGTGCGGACGAACGCTTCAGCGACCCGCCTGCTCGACCTGGCCGCCTGGGCCCGCCTGGCCGACCCACACGTGGGGGTTCGCTCGCCCGACCTGCCTGGGTGGTTGTGCTGCTTGTCCTCCTGCTTCCAGCCTGCTCCTACCGATCCCTATCATCCTCCATCCTTCTCCGTCTCCTCCCTCACCTCCCCGGTTGTAGCGTCTGTGCCAACCACACGTGGCAGGCAAGGAAGATAGACCCCTGAGGGGGGTACGGTCGAAGCCGAAGAGGGTGGGCATCGAGAGCTTGACATATGCATGCTGGATGGCACGCGATTGGATGAGAGCAAACTGTCTGAAAATGATTGTTGTTGTTGGTGTTGAACTCTCACTTCTGAAGAATAATTATGGTTGGTCCCCCCTCTGGCCGGTGCACATTGTACTTTTCAAACTAAGTGCCCCTTCCGGGGCTCGCACCGTCTTTCACCAGGGAAAATCTTGACGTCAAACTGCGCCCCTGGCCCCCGAGATACAACAAGAACGGCTCCCGCCGGAGACTTTCTCACAGTGCATTCCCACATCGCGCTCTCGCGCGGGACTTCCTCGCAATGCATGCAGAAATCGTGCTCTCTCGTGTGACTTCCTCGCAATGTATTCAGACGCCGCGCCCTCGACACTCAGACATCACGCTCTCGCTTCGGCTTCTCTCATGATTTACGTGGGAATCACGGTATCGCCGGAGATTTCCTCGCGAGCCATGCAGGACGCACGACTCAGCAACCCGCCTGCTCGACCTGGCCGCCTGGGCCCACCTTCCCGACCCGTCTGCTAGGGTCTACCCGCCCGATCTGCCCGTTTGGTTCTGCCACGTCTTTTCTGCATCTAACACCCCTCCTGCTACTCGTTCCTCTCATGCTCCATCATCCTTCCACCCCTTTGTCTTTCTTCCGTCCGTCCTCTCTTCCCCTTCTGTAGGGCTGCATGATATACACGTTGCAGGTATTACACACATATATATATATATATATAAATATAATACACCGCCAAAGGGGTAACATCGAAGACAAAGAGGGCAGGAATCAAGGGTTTGGGGTATACGTGATGAATGGCAGGATATCAGATAACAGCGAACATTCTTAAGATGAGTGTTGCTGCTGCTGCTGCTGAACTCTCACTACTGAAGAATAATTATTGTTGACCCCCCCCTCCGGTGACCATTGTGTTTTTTCAATTGAAGTGCTTCCCCGGGGCTCGCACCCTGTTTCTTGATCAGGGAAAATCACGGGGCTCAAACTGGGCCCCTGGCCCCCTATTTACAACAACAGCGGCTCCCGCCCTAAACTTCCCCACAACTTATTCCAAAATCGCGCTCTAGCGCGGGACTTCCTCACAGTTCATATACGCATCGCGTTCTCGCGTGGGACTTCCTCGTAATTTATTCGAACGCTGCGCCCTCGGCGCTCAGGAATCACGCTCTCGCTTTGGCTTTTCTTACGATTTACTTGGGAATCGCGCTATCGCTCGACACTTCCTCGCGATTCAGGCAAGACGCACAACAACCCGCCTGCTCGACCTGGTCGCCGGGGGCCGCCCTCCCGACCTGCCCGCTATGGGTCTGCCCACCCGATCTGCCCGTTTGGCTCTACCACTTGTTTTCTGCTCATTGCCCCCCTCCTGCTAACTTCTTTCGTGCTACCTCCCACCCGTCCTGTCTTCCCTTGTTTAAGGGGCTGCAGTTAATGCACGTAGCAGGTAATGGAAGTATACTCCCAAGACGGTACGATCGAAGAGGACGAAGGCGGGTATCGAGGGTTTGGGATATACGTATCGATTCGCACGTGAGCAGATAGAAGCGAACAATCTTGAAATGCTTGTTGTTGCGGTCGTTGTCGTTGTGGTTGTCGTTGTTGTTGTCATTGTTGTTGTTGTCGTCGTCGTCGTCGTCGTTGTTGTTGTTGTTGTTGTTGTTGTTGTTGTTGTCGAATACTCACTTCTAAAGAACATGTATTGCTGATCTCTGGAAACGGTTCCGCGCGCTCTCGCCTCGACGCCGGCTACATTTTCGCTGAAAACGAGGCTCCCGCTCGAGCGTTGGCTTGATCCTAAATGTGGACCCTTGGAGGCCCAGCTACGACAACAACGGCTCCCGCTTGATACTTCCTTACAAGTTACCCCGAGATGTCCTGGCCAGAGAGGCCCCCGAACTCAGGAGCGGCCCTCTCGCTCGAGACGTCCTCGCAATTCAATTGAGTTGGCAGAGGTCCAGCCACGAGGACAAGGGCTCCTGCTCGATACTTCCTCACGATTTACGCCGAGAGCCATTGGCCAAGAAATCCCCCGAACTCAGGAACTGCGCTCTCGCTCGAGATTTTCCCGTAATTCAAGCAAGTTGGTGGAGGCCCGGACACGGCGACAAGAGCTCCCGTTTGATACTTGTCCAAAAATATTCCGAGAGCCCTTGGTCAGAGAGGCCCCCGAACCCAGGAACGGCGCTCTCGCTCGAGACTTCTTCGCAGTTCAGTCAGTGGCCGACAAGGAAGTGATTCCCCCCGAAGGGGGGTGCAATCGAAGACGAAGTGGGCGGGTATCGAGGGTTGGGGTATACAGAATGGAAGACACGCGTGCCAATAAGAGCGAACAGTCTTAAAATGACTGTTGTTGTTATTATTAGTACTGCTGCTGCTGCTGCTGCTGCTGCTGATGTTGTGGTTGTTGTTGTTGTTGTTGTTGTTGTTGTTGTTGTTGTTGTTGTTGTTGTTGTTGTTGTTGTTGTTGTTGTTGTTGTTGTTGTTGTTCAATACTCGTTCCTGGAAAATAATTACCTCTGGAAACGGTTCCGCACGCTCTCGCCTCGCCGCCGGCTGCAAACTCTCTGAAAACGAGACTCCCGCTCGAGCGCGGGCTTGATTGTAAATGTGTGCCCCTTGAGGCCCAGCTGCAACGACAACGGCTCCCGCTTGATACTTCCTCACAATTTACCCCGAGACACCCTGGCAGAGAGGCCCCCGAACTCAGCAACGGCCCTCTCGCTCAAGACTTCCTCGCAATTTTGTTGAGTCGGCGGAGGCCCAGCTACGACGACAAGGGCTCCTGCTCTATACTTCCCCAGGACTTACACCGAGAGCCCCTGGCCTGGAAGGCCCCCGAACTCTGGAACGGTGCTCTCGTTCGAGACTTGCTCGTGATTCAATCAAATTGGTGGAGGCCCAACTACGACGACAAGGGCTCCTTGTTCGATATTTCCTCAAGGTGTATTCCCAGAGGCCCTGGCCAAACAGCCCCCCGAACTTAAGAGTGGCGCTCTCGCTCAAGACTTTCTCGTGATTCAGGCAACTTGGTGGAGGCCCAGACACGACGACACCGTTCGATATTTCGCCCCTGGCCAGAGAGGCCCCCGAACTCAGGAACGGCGCTCTCGCTAGAGAGTAGTCGGACTTCAGCCAGTGGCCGACGAGGAAGATATCCCCCCGAAAAGTGGAGCGATCGAAGACGAAGTGGGCGGGTACCGAGGGTTGGGGTAAACGGAATACAAGACACGCGTGCCAGTAAAAGCGAACAGTTTACAATGATTGTTGTCGTTGTTGTTGTTGTTGTTGTTGTTGGTGGTGGTGGTGGTGGTGGTGGTGGTGGTGGTGGTGGTGGTGGTGGTAGTGGTGGTGGTGGTGGTGGTGGTGGTGGTGTGTGTGTGTGTGTCTGTGTTTGTGCGACTCTTGCATTGCGAAGTAATAGTTCGCCCAGGTGCAACATACGGGTCAAGAAGGTTCACAGTATTCTTCCAGGCCCTTCGACTCTTGACTTCAAGACGAGAAAATAACAACTAGGGCATGGCTCACGGTAGGGCGTCCCTCCTGCGAGCACCCCCCTTCCCGTCCTTGGGCCACCATCTTCGCACAGATCCCATCCCTGCAGAGCAGAGTTCTGAAGCACCGACAAGGACTCCGAATTGGAGCGACGTCTGAGACGAAGAGCAAGGACGTCCGATACCCCAGCGCCGATTGGAGCCGCAGGGGTATCGGCTACACGCTCACACGGACCAGGGAAGGTGACCCCCCGAAGCATGCCGTCGTTGCCGCCTGACCTGACGACGCCGCGCGCCGAGCCTGTGTGGGAGCGGGGCCCGCCGCTGATCCACGCGCCTTGCAAGCCATGTGTGCGCCTCCTCGAGCGTAGGGCCCGCAGCTGGGTCCGCGCGGAGCTTCGACCATGGTGCTTCTGCGGTGGGCTGTTCCTCGAAACTGGTCGCGAACGCACTTCCAGCGCCCCCCCCCCGCAGCAGAACTGGACGCGCGCGCGCCTGCTGCACGTACCGCTGGAAGGAGCTCGCGCACCTCCGGCGGGCCTCGCAGGGCGCCTCTGCTGGAAGCCACAGCCACAATCACGGGGGCGAGACCCGCCACCCCTGGGGAGAAGGGGCGAGGGCCGTCTTTAGAGGCCTCCTAGATGGGGTCCGAGTAGATGGGGTCGGGGGATCGCGCCGCATCGCAGATACATCGGCGATGCACCGGCGATGCATCGGCAACGCACCGGCGAAGCATCGTCGACATGGGCGACGATTCGGCGACGTCGACGTGAAGGAAATCGGGCTCCACATCGAGCCGCATCGCCGATGCATCGGCGATGCGGCGCGATCCTCCGACCCCATCTACTCGGACCCCATCTGGGAAGCCTAGATTCTTGGCAATCCTGCGGGCGAGAACGGCATCCGTACCCACGGCCTCGTGGGCCGGGCCCCCTGGGCCGCCTCCCCGCGGACACGGGGCGTGCCTCCGCGGATGCCCCGCGCGGAACGTGCCCGTGGGACCGCGCGCCCACAGGATCGCGCCAGGGAATCCAGACCGCGAGGGCGCGGATACAGTCCAAAACCCTAATGAGGACGCGCGGTAAGGACGCCAGACCCTTGGAAGCCAAAGTTGAGATTTTTGGGGCAGCGGACGACGCAAACCTCAAGGACGCAAGGGCAAGGAAGAGCAAGGACGCAAGGGTACCCTGAGCAAAGTCGCGCGTCCTTAGGGTTTTTGACTGTACGCATATGTTCGCCGCTGCGGACGATCTGGGTATCCTGGGAAGGCTCTCAACGAGGCGCAGCTGCAGGGAAGCATCCCGAGGCGAGGAAGCTTCCTCTCCCCCCCTGACGGCGATACATGATCCAGGGCTCCGGGCCCACGGGCCCCCCGCCGCCCCAGATGGGAAGGGTCTCAGGGTCCCTCGGCCCCCCCTCCCCCAGATGGGATGAGGGGACGACGACGACGACGACGACGACGACGACGAAGGCGGCGGCGGCGATACATGTGCCGATGCCGATGCCGACGCTGATGTCGTCGTCGTCTTCGTCGTTGGCCTCATCCTCCTCCTCCTTCTCCTCCTTCTCCTCCTTCTCCTCCTCCTCCTCCTCCGCCCTGATGGGGGGGGGGAAGGACCCCATACCCACCACTGTACGCCCACAGGGGAAGACCCCGCCGCGCCACGCCCACAGGGAGGGGGGGGACCCATCGCACGCGGGGGGGGTGGAGGGGCCGATGGCATCGGCATGAGGGGTGGGGTGTGGGGGGGCCCAGACCCCGGATCGCATACCGCCCTCCTCCCCCGAGGTCCGACGCTGCACCAAAGTGCAGCACCCCGCGACGCCTCACGCCCGGAACCCCAGACCCAGCCCCTCTGCGCCAGATCTCGAGCGGGCTCGATCTGTGAGGGCCCCGGGGCCCGAGACCTGGCGAAAACGCCCCGCGGCACGAAAGCTGCAACTCCCCGGTCTGAGCTAGGGCTCCCAACTTCGCGCTTCGCGCTGCGCGAAGCGCGAAGCGCGAATAACTTCGCGCTCTCGCGCCGCCCTCCCAAAGGGAGAATAGGAGGACGAGGAGGAGGGGGAGAAGGAACGAGGACCGCGAAGCGCGAAGCGCGAATAACTTCGCGCCCTCGAGGGAGCCCTTGTCTGAGGGTCGACGCCGTGGCATCACGCCTCTCTTGGCCGCCCCCGACCCTCCCTGCCTGCCCCCCCCCCCCTCCCTCGTCTCGCCCTCGCTCGGGCGCCCATTCCCCGTGCATGCTTCGTCTTCGTGCGTGTACTTGCTCGCTGGATGGTCGTTGATGGTCCTCGCCTCCATGCTCCTCGATGCTCCTTCTCCGGGCCCCCGCCCCCCGCCTACGACTTGGCATCGCTCGGGCGTCCGAGCCATGCCAAGTCGTAGGCGGGGCGGGGGCACGTCTCTGCGGGCTTCTCGGCTGCCCTGGGCCTCGGGCCACTGCGGCATCCGCCCCGCCAGGCTGTCCGGGCAGATCCGCGCGAGCGACGGGTGGCCTGCACCTCAGAAGCGCTCACGAGCGGCGAACATCCCTGAGATCCTGGCTTCAATTTTTTCGAGCCGGTCAGGTTTCGGGGCCCGGGACCCGCACAGATCGATCCGACTCGAGCAGAGGCGCAAAAGGATGGGGTCTGGAGCTCCGGTCGTAATGCCAAACGATGTCTCAATGGATTCGCGCCGTCGGATCTCAGAGATATCCGCATCTTGGGCGTTGCGTACTGGTGAGGCGAGAACCGGGGAGGGGGGCGAAAAACATGCACCTTGCGTGCCCCTTTGGGGTCCCTGAGCGCCACTTTAGGGCCCCCAAGGTGCATGAAGGGTGCACCTTTTTTCCATCCGCCCACTCGTCGCCCCCCCATTGCGTAACGCCTGAACATTCACGCCCTCGCGGTCTGGATTCCCGGGGGCGATCCCGCGGATACGCAATCGCACGGGTACGTTGCGCGCGGGGCATCCGCGGAACAACGCGCCGTATCCGCAGGGTCGCGGCCCAGGGGCCCGGCCCGCGAGCTCGCGGATACGAATATGTTTTTTGTCCACAGGAGGGGCTATGGGATTCTGGGGGGTTCTGGGTTGGCCACGCGCTCGCCCAGGAAGGGCGCGAGGTCCAGGCAGAAACGACAGCGGGCGGTCAGACGACGGCAACGACGGCGATGAAGAACGACGACGGTGAGGACGACGAAGACGACGACAATAGACCAATAGACGAACGAGCGCAGTGACGCGAACGACGGCGACGACGACGACGACGACGACGACGAAGGCGGCGGCAAGCGCACGGTCACGGACGCAAGCGGACCCCATCACCTGGCAGACCCCCCGAGGGAGGAGGAGGAGGAAGAGGAGGAGGAGGAGGAGGACAAGGAGGAGGAGGAGGAGGGGGAAGGATCGACAATCGAAGATCGAGATTCCAGGTCTGAGAGGTTCAGATGCTCTTTGTTTGTTTGGGGCCTCTGGGAAGCTTCTCGCCGGCATGGCTGGATCCGCCTTGAAGTGCTGGCCAGACAGAACGCACATCTGGCGAGTCAGATCCACGGCCTGGACCCCTGGATTCCCCCCAAACCAATTTTCATCCCGAGTTACTTTTGAAGCAGCCCCGGTGCCTGGGGAGTGCTCCAGAGGGGCCGACCACGGTGAAAAAGCTCAGGGCACCTTGTCCTCTACGTAGATCCCTTCCTTTCTGGTGGGTGGCGCCGATCTGGATCGATGGGCGGACCGCCAGATCCGCGGCCCGGTGCAGCGCCCCGATCGGGGGATCTGGGTCGTTTCCGCGGCCCGCACCCAGCAGGTCTCCCAGCGCGCGCTTCAGCTCCTCGTGGGACCGCCATGGGCGGGACGCCGGCTCCTGTGCAGGGGGGGTCCAAGGCAGAAGGATCTGATAACACGCAAGGGCGAGATGAGGAGGAGGAGGAGGAGGAGGAGGAGGAGAAGGAGGAGGAGGAGAAGAAGGAGGATTGAGTACTGAACACTGCCCTGGGAGGACCGTCGCTCTCTGGCACGACCAGCGCGCGACTTCTGAGCGTCGACATTGTGACGACTGTCATGCCCGAAATGAGCTGGAACAGGAAAGCAGCCAAGGGGACGGTACCGCTCTTCGGGAACAGACTACGTGGTGCTACCTCCTCCCTTCGAGCCCGCCTCCAACCCAGTCCTGGATCCAGCCTACCTCCCACTCTCGCGAACCTGCCGCTTGCCTCGGCACTCCTGTGCCGGGCGGCTCTGCGGCATCGACCTCGCCACGCGGTGGAGCGCAGCAGAGGAATAGGAGAACCTTTGGTTGAGAGCCCTGAGGGGGGATCGCCACCAAAGGTCATCCTAAGAGGATAACCTTTGGTGGCTTGTCCTTGGTGGCTTATCCTTGGTGGGATCGCCTCCTTGGTGGTTTATCCTTCTGAGAAGGCCCGCCCCTTCTCAGGGCTCGCGAGCCCGAAACGGCGGGCCTTCTCAGAAGGATCGGAAAAGGCCTCCGACCTTCTGGCAAGCATGCGAAGCCTTCCCCGAGGGCACAGAAAACTTAGACTGGAGGGCTTCTGAGAAGACCCGCCGCTCGGGGATGGACAGACCTCCCTTGAGTAAAACGTGGTTTAGTAAAAACGACCTAAGGCCCAAACCTGGCGGGCGCAAGCCTGGAAAATAACGGCCACGGCGCCCTCTCGAGAACCGGAAACGGACAATTCACTAATCGACATGTCACTGTTGGGGGTTCTGTCCACCCCCGAGCCGGCTTTCGAGAAGGCCTGGTCCTTCCCTCTTCCCCCCGGGCGCGCCGCCGAAACATAGATTGAGCTGACCTACTATTCTGCACATTCTGGAACACACGTTCGGGGGCCGCGCCTCTAGCTCTACGCAGGGCCAGCTATGGACCTGTGTTGCATCACGATGCTGACGCTATTAATAGCCACACTTGCCTCGTCTCTTGCTCTCCACCGTCGTGGCGAGGTCTCTCACAGATGGCCCTCCGGGGGGACGGGCCACGGGAGCCGCGTCGTTCACCCCTTCTTCAACATGAACTGGCACACGTTCAGGGGAACAACCAATCACATAAGCACACAAATGGTTCGGGCGGATTCCTCGGATCGGCGCTGGGGCTCCCTGTAAGCGCCTCTGGTGCCACCCCTGGCGCGCTCCGCGCGCCAGGGAGGTGGGTCCAGCGCCGATCCAGGAAATCCGCGCGGATCTTAGAATTTGAATGTTTCATGTCGTTGCTGACCATGCGGGCCGTCACGCTCGGCTAAGAGAAGGCTGGTGCCGTTGTTAAGCTCGCGGTGGCAAGTGCCATATGTGCTCGTACAGGGCATGCAAGGCCGAACATCCCTCATCCCCGGCACATGCCCTTCTGCTATACGGTATCCCATGGGGCCCAGGGGCGCGATCATGAGTTTTTCTCATCATCCTCCCGAACTCCTCCTCCTCCTCCGACCTCCCAAAAACATTATGAGGTATACTGGGGGCGTGTTGAATAAGTTCGTCGAACGAGACCCCATCCACCTCCGCCACATTATGTACTTCGCCCCAACTGCCAGGCAAATTCCTAGGCCCCAACTCAAGGGCCCACGATGGGGGCGCCAAGCGGGCCCGAGATCGCCTGCAGGGAAGCTGTGGCAGCGCGAGCAGTCCAGGCCGCGCGATGCGTAGGCGACGTATGATTTTGCAGCTGCTTCTTCTGCTTGATGATATCATTGAAAGCTCGGACTTGCTCGATCTGGCAGTCTATCGGCTGAACCTGAACCGCGCCGAGGACATGATGAAAGCCAACGTACTTGGAGGACCGGCGCTCCTCTGTGTTGAACAACTGCTGCAGACACGGGCAAGCTTGCACTGCGCGTCTCAAGATACTGCGGGACCTCGACCGCGCCGCGCGCGGGGCCGCAGGGGCCCACGAGATATATCATGGGAGGGAGGCGGCTCTCTTCTGTTCGAGCTTAATCATGACCTGTTTAGCTTCAACTTTGATGGCTTCCCGAACCTGCCGGGTCCTCTCGATCGGGCCCCCGGAGAGCTCACCGCCTCCAAGAAGAGTATCCCGAATGACCAGAAGAAAGAAGTCATGCTTGGCTACCTGAGACTGGACCTTGGGAGCACCGCGGGAGCCAGGGGAGGCCAGAAACAAATCGACAGGAACATGACTGGACAGCGCGCTGAAATCGGCTGCGCAGCCAACCGTGCCAGAGCTGTGAGCAATGTCGAGCAGCGAGCCAGCGGAGGGCGAGGTGTAGATGCTGTCTGCGCGAGAGACGGACAGGACCACGGACTGGCCATCCTGAGACCATTCGACACGATGCGACAATTGAGGCTGCTCAACCTCCGGCAGCGGCGGGAACAGTTGGACACAATACTTGGCCAGGCTGTGCGACAGGTGGATGAAGCGCCCGCCAAGCTGGCGACTACCCTCCCCCGCCGCTGGGAAATTGAAATCCTCTAGAACGAATGCTGCGCGCTGGGCCCGAGGAAGAGGGGCAAGACAGAGCACTAGAGAGTTGACGTTCCGAATTCGAACCCGAAGCCCTGGATCACCATGAACACTGACGACCTGAATGGCGCGCCTGTAGCTGTGCATAACTATGATGTGGATGCGCCCACATGCGATAAATTTATGACGCGTTTGCGGAAGCTGTGCTCGAAGTACACGATTGACATATGGTAGACATCCACTGGAGTGCGAGCTGTCGAGAAAGGTAGAGAAGCCACTGGGCCTTCACACCTCCCGCTCCAACGCTTTGAAACGCTCTTGCGTCCAGCGAGCGTTTGTATGCGCGCGACGCTGTGCTTGGGACTCAAACTGAGAAGCTGCCAAATAATTGTCTTGCGGGCGTGCTGCGGGGCGTGCATGGCTCCGAAAAGCGATCGAGCGTTCCGCGAAACAGTAGAAAATCTGCGATCTGGAGGAAAAGGCGTGCACTGAGCTGGCATCTGATGCCAGCTTTCAAGCGAAGATGATCTGGAACTCGAGGAGGAGCTGGTAGCCGCCGACGCAAAAGCACCAGGCGAGGAGCTGCTGGTCGACGACGCCGAAGAACATGAAAGCATTGCTGCCGCCGTCGAGGAAGGTAAGCCTGAGAACAAGCTTTCGAGTTCCTATCATCAGCGCCAGGGAGGACTGCAACACGATCGCCGTCAACTGCTGCTGCGGAGATATCGGAGGACGAGAACAGAACTCCCGCGCAGTTGTCAGCCCCAATATCATTCTGGCAGCCTGCCACGCTGTGCTGGACCGACTGAGATGGCATTGTAGCTTCCCGCAGCAGGATGTTCGTGTCGGTCCTGTCGATCTCCTCCTCGCTGAAGCCTAACTTCTGGAGTGCCTCCACATTCGGCGGGACATCCATCTGGGGAGCGTCCACCAGAGACGTCGAACAGGGGAGTGACCTCCTCGCAACGGATGAACCAGAGCTTGCCGCGGAAGCCCTGGGAGCCAAGGCGGTACTCGCCACGCCATTTGTTTGAGCTGCGGGCCACTTCCTGAACCTTTGTCCAGAGGATGCCCAGGATAATGCTGACCTTCCTGATCTCAGGCGGGGCGCCAATGCGGATCTTCACCGTGATCACCTGGCACTGAGCTGGATCCTCGCATGAGACACCGAAGGTACGGGCGCGCGTCAAGAAGTCCTTGGCGTGCTGAGTGTTTGATGCGGTGCGCTGTATGAACATTGTGGCACTTGGGAAGCGCCGTGACGTTCGATGGAGCATGCCACTGAATGAACTGGGTGGCATGGCGAGTGAGCACGCTCGCGAGCACCGGGCGCGGGAAGCCCGCAATCAACGTTTTGGAATCGTTGCTGTTGCCACCAGCACTTCCACTAGCACTGGAGCCTGCGGCTGAGCTAGCCCCCGAGGGAGGAGGAGTACGAGTCTGCTGTGAGCAGGTCTTGAGCTGGGCATTGACGGTCTCAATATTGGCGTCGACGATCCTAGTGACTTCCTCGATGCAGACGTTCTGGGCAGCGGAATCGCTGGCTGCGGCCTTGGCCCCCAGCTCGGTCAGCCTGTTGTTGAAGCCCTCGATCTCGACCTCTGTGGCGGCGGTCGTTTGCTTCATGTGGTCGATGTCATTCTTGGTGGCCACATTTGCCATCTGGCCGTCGATGGAGATCAGCATCGTGCGGAACCAGTCGTCACCTTCACTAAGGGATGACGAGCTGCTGCCGAGTCGCTGCTGCTTGGGAGGCGGAGCGCCCTCACCTTGCGACGGCGGTGTGAGGTCCCCCATGGTCGGCATCAGGGCATCTGCCGATTCAGCGGGCGTGCCGTCGGCAGGGAGAGGACGCGGATGAGACTCGCAGGCGCCGTCTTGGTCCGAAAGCGGCGCCAGCAGGTCGGACCCGGGGCGGTCCCTGGAGCCGGTACTGTGCAAAGCGTGAGGCCGAACCTCCTTCTGGCACGCTCGATCCTCCCCTCGGTGGCGTCCAGGTCCGAAGCGCCAAAGACGCACGTTTCGAACTTGAGCCAAAATAGCTACGCAAGAAAAGGAGGAAGAGGATGATGATGATGATGATGATGATGATGATGATGATGATGATGAGGAGGAGGAGGAGGAGGAGGAGGAGGAGGAGGAGGGCGAAGGCGAGGGCGAGGAGGAGTAATGAAGAGGATGAGGTCCAGGAGGACGAGGAGGTCCTGGCCGAAGATCGTCGGCCCGTAGATCTCTCCCAGCTCGTGGTCCAGCTCCACCGGCAGGTCCAGCCGCTCGGCGATGACGAGCGCCGTCTGCACGCAACGCAGGTACGGTGAGGACACGACCCTGTGGAAGCCGCCGGCGCCGTAGAGCACCCGCGCCACCTGCTCGGCCTGCTGGCAGCCCTTGGCGGTGATGGGCGGGTCGAAGGGGTGCCGCTTGCTCTCCTGTGAGGGGGGACGTTCCCAGACGCCCTCGAGTCATGGAGAACCACGACGGAAGGTATTGGGCCATTTTCGGCCTCCGGGGGGCCTCGCCGGGCCCTGGGACTTCCAACAAAAACGACTCAGGATGAAAAGCCGGTAACGGGGAACAGGTCGCGAGGAGTGGGGGTACACGTATTGAAAAACCAAAAAACATGACGACGGGAGTCTGGGTTAAGGGGGAGCCGGCTGTGCGCGGGGGAGAAACGTTGAGATGGAATCGGCGATACATGATTCAGAGCTGCGAGAATGTCTTGTGCGAAACGGGCCGGACCACCTTGCGCACGGCACCTCAGAGCTCAGAGTTGCGAGGATGTCTCAGGCGAGATGGGCTGGACCACCTCGCGCAGGGCATCTCGGAGCCTAGAGTTGCGAGGATGTCTCCAGCGTAACGGGCTGGACCACCTCGCGCGCGGCATCTCGGACCCCAGAGTTGCGACGATGTCTCGGGCGAAACGTGCTGCGAGGAAGTCTCAGGCGAAACGGGCCGGACCACCTCGAGCGCGGCGTCTCAGAGCTCCGAGTTGCGTGGGCCTCCTGGGGCCTCCTGGGGCCTCCTGGGGCCTCCTGGTGACCTCCTGGGGCTTCCTCCTGGGCCTCCTGTGGCCTCCTGAACTCCACCTGGGGCTTCCTGAAGCCTCTTGGAGCTCCTAGGGGGATATCTAACATGTGGCCGTCGGGGCCCCCCTAAAATGGGGGGGGGCCACAAGAGCAGGAAAAATCAACGAATCAACACCGGATGTGTATTAACTTGACACGTTCTGATAAGGGGGTCTCCTGGGGCCTCCTGGGAGCCTCCTGGGAATCTCCTGCGGACCCCTGGGGCCTGTCCTGGGCGTCCTGCGGCCTCCTGGAGCTCTCTGGGGCCTCCCCCTCCTCCTGCCTGCTCCCTCATGCACATCATCCGCCTCCTCCTTCTCCCTTCCATCTCCTCCTCCTCCTCCTCCTCCTCCTCCTCTCCCTCCTCCTCCTCCCTCCACCTCCTCTTCATCCCGAACGGCATCTCGGAGCCTAGAGTTGCGAGGATGTCTCCAGCGTAACGGGCTGGACCACCTCGCGCGCGGCATCTCGGACCCCAGAGTTGCGACGATGTCTCGGGCAAACGTGCTGCGAGGAAGTCTCAGGCGAAACGGGCCGGACCACCTCGAGCGCGGCGTCTCAGAGCTCCGAGTTGCGGGGGCCTCCTGGGGCCTCCTGGGGCCTCCTGGTGACCTCCTGGGGCTTCCTCCTGGGCCTCCTGTGGCCTCCTGAACTCCACCTGGGGCTTCCTGAAGCCTCTTGGGGCTCCTAGGGGGATATCTAACATGTGGCCGTCGGGGCCCCCTAAAATGGGGGGGGGGCCACAAGAGCAGGAAAAATCAACGAATCGACACCGGATGTGTATTAACTTGACACGTTCTGATAAGGGGGTCTCCTGGGGCCTCCTGGGAGCCTCCTGGGAATCTCCTGCGGACCCCTGGGGCCTGTCCTGGGCGTCCTGCGGCTTCCTGAAGCTCTCTGGGGCCTCCTGGGGCTCCCAGGGGGGATATGTAACATATGGTCTTCTGGGCCCCAGGCTGGACCACCTCTTGCGCGGCATCTGGGAGCTCAGAGTTGCGAGAATGTCTCTTGCGAAACAAGCCGGACCACCCTGCGCACGGCATCTCAGAGCTCAGAGTTGCGAGTATGTCTCAGGCGAGACGGGACGGACCACCTCGCGCAGGACATTTCAGAGCTCAGAAGTTCGAGGATGTCTCAGGCGAAACGGGCCGGACCACCTCTCGCGCGGCATCTCCGAGGTCAGAGTTTCGAGGATGTCTCTGGCGAAACGGGCCAAACCACCTCGCGCAAGGCATCTCAGAGCTCAGAGTTTCGAGGATGTCTCAGGCGAAACGGCCCGGACCACTTCTCGCACGGCACCTCGGGGCTCAGAGTTTCGAGGATGTCTCAGGCGAAACGGGCCTGACCACCTCTCGCGCGGCGTCCCGGAGCGCAACTTTTCCAGGATTTCTCAGGCGAAACGGCCAATCCCGGCCAACTCAGAAACGAGAGTTGTGAGGATGTCTCAAGCGCAACGGCCCGGACCATCAAATTTTTGTGAGGATGTCTCTGCTCCGACTTCCCTCGGCCGGAGTTAGCTTCTATCACAACAGCACCCCGTTCAGCAAGCTGTTTGGGGAAAAATCCTGTTTGGGGAACCCTGTCTCGGAGCCCAGAGTTGCGAGGATGTCCCAGGTCGCACCTGGTCGACGAGTAAGCTGTCGGGTCGGCACTGTGAGAGGCTCCACCGCCATGCTGTGAACTCAGAAGCAACTTTAAGAGGAAGCGGGGGAGGGCGCGGAAGCGGGGGGGCATGTCGTGATGGTTCCCTCGGGGATGATATCGAGAGGTACGCGGCGCACGTCTCGAAAGAAAAATCGTGACGTCGGATGTCTGGGGAGGGCGGAAGGCAGCGCGCGCATGACGGATGCTGAGGCGGCAGAAACGACGACGGCGGGGACGGGGAGGCGGAGGCAGAGGCGCAGCAGCGGGAGGCGGGAGGCGGGAGGAGGGAGGAGGGAAGAGGAACCAGGCGGGAAGTGGGAAGAGGGAGGCGGGAGAAGGAATGAGAGAGGTTGTGATTGGAGCTCCTGTGCTACGAAACGTCTCAGGCAGAATGGGCCAGACCATCTCGCGCGCAACATCTTCGAGCCTCGCATTGCGAGGATGGCTCAATCGAAACGGGCCGGACCACCTCGCGAGCGACATCTTGGAGCTCAGTATTGGAAGGATGTCTCAAACGAAACGGGCCGGACAATCTTTCGCACACGTTTTGACAAGTCCACATCGCACTCGCTTCCCGTTAGGTCCTCTCCTGCAACTCCTTTCCTTCTCCCTCCTCCTCCTCCTCCTCCTCCTCCTCCTCCTCCCCCTCCTCCTGCCTGCTCCCTCATGCACATCATCCGCCTCCTCCTTCTCCTTTCCATTTCCTTCTCCTTCTCCTCCTCCTCCTCCTCCTCCTCCTCCACCTCCTCTTCATCCCGAACGGCATCTCGGAGCCTAGAGTTGCGAGGATGTCTCCGGCGTAACGGGCTGGACCACCTCGCGCGCGGCATCTCGGACCCCAGAGTTGCGACGATGTCGCTGGCAAACGTGGTGCGAGGAAGTCTCAGGCGAAACGGGCCGGACCACCTCGAGCGCGGCGCCTCAGAGCTCCGAGTTGCGGGGACCTCCTGGTGCCTCCTGGGGCCTCCTGGGGACCTCCTGGGGCTTCCTCCTGGGCCTCCTGTAGCCTCCTGAACTCCACCTGGGGCTTCCTGAAGCCTCTTGGGGCTCCCAGGGGGGATATCTAACCTGTGGCCGTTTGGACCTCTCCAAATGGAGGGGGGGGCACAAGAGCAGGAAAAGTCAACGAATCGACACCGGATGTGTATTAACTTGACACGTTCTGATAGGCGGCCTCCTGGGGCCTCTTGGGAGCCTCCTGGGAATCTCCTGGAGACTCCTGGGGCCTGTCCTGGGCGTCCTGCGGCCTCCTGGAGCTCTCTGGGGCCTCCCCCTCCTGCTGCCTGCTCCCTCATGCACATCATCCGCCTCCTCCTTCTCCCTTCCATCTCCTCCTCCTCCTCCTCCTCCTCCTCCTCCTCCTCCTCCTCCACCTCCTCTTCATCCCGAACGGCATCTCGGAGCCTAGAGTTGCGAGGATGTCTCCAGCGTAACAGGCTGGACCACCTCGCGCGCGGCATCTCGGACCCCAGAGTTGCGACGATGTCTCTGGCGAAACGTGGTGCGAGGAAGTCTCAGGCGAAACGGGCCGGACCGCCTCGAGCGCGGCGTCTCAGAGCTCCGAGTTGCGTGGGCCTCCTGGGGCCTCCTGGGACCTCCTGGTGACCTCCTGAAGCTTCCTCCTGGGCCTCCTGTGGCCTCCTGGACCCCGCCTGGGGCTTCCTGAAGCCTCTTAGGGCTCCCAGGGGGGATATCTAACCTGTGGCCGTTTGGGCCTCTCCAAATGGAGGGGGGGGGGGGCACAAGAGCAGGAAAAATCAACGAATCGACACCAGATGTGTATTAACTTGACACGTTCTGATAGGCGGCCTCCTGGGGCCTCCTGGGAGCCTCCTGGGAATCTCCTGGAGACCCCTGGGGCCTGTCCTGGGCGTCCTGCGGCCTCCTGGTGCCTCCTGGAGCCTCCTGGGGACCTCCTGGAGCTTCCTCCTGGGCCTCCTGGAGCTTCCTCCTGGGCCTCCTGTGGCCTCCTGAACTCCACCTGAGGTTTCCTGGAGCCTCTTGGGGCTCCCAGGGGGGATATTTAACCTGTGGCCGCTTGGGCCTCTCCAAATGGAGGGGGGGGGCACAAGAGCAGGAAAAGTCAACGAATCGACACCGGATGTGTATTAACTTGACACGTTCTGATAAGGGGGTCTCCTGGGGCCTCCTGGGAGCCTCCTGGGAATCTCCTGGGGGCCCCTGGGGCCTGTCCTGGGCGTCCTGCGGCCTCCTGGACCTCTCTGGGGCTTCCTGAGGCTCGCAGGGTCCCATGGAGGATATGTAACATGTGGTCTTCTGGGCCCCCAGGCTGGACCACCTCTCGCGCAGCATCTGAGAGCTCAGAGTTGCGAGAATGTCTTATGCGAAACAAGCCGGACCACCCTGCGCACGGCATCTCAGAGCTCAGAGTTGCATGGATGTCTCAGGCGAGACGGGCCGGACCACCTCGCGCAGGGCATCTCAGAGCTCAGAAGTTCGAGGATGTCTCAGGCGAAACGGGCCGGACCACCTCTCGCGCGGCATCTCCGAAGTCAGAGTTTCGAGGATGTCTCTGGCGAAACGGGCCGGACCACCTCGCGCAAGGCATCGCAGAGCTCAGAGTTTCGAGGATGTCTCAGGCGAAACGGCCCGGACCACCTCTCGCACGGCACCTCGGGGCTCAGAGTTTCGAGGATGTCTCAAGCGAAACGGCCCGGACCACCTCTCGCGCGGCGTCCCGGAGCGAAACTTTTCGAGGA